CGCATACCGGATATTTGCAGCTGCTTGCTGCTGCCTTTAGAAGCGGCTCTGGATGATTTCGCCACTGTAAAATTCATGGAATTACTGTAAAAATAGTGGGCTTTTTTAGTTTTACATTCCTTCCCGGCTCGTAACTTTCAATATTGAAAAATCGCCACCTCCAAACTTTGATATGTTGTAGTGAAAAAAATTCTACACAAGATGTATCTTTTTCAAAAAACTTAAAAGCATGTTTTTTTTTCTATGTTTGTTTGAAATCTTCTTTTTATTGTGTCATCGTGCACTTTTATCAGAATTAAATTTTGTAACAATTTTTTCAAAATCAGTACATGAGAAATAAGCAGGATTAAAAATCGTTAAGTTCTGTTGAGAACGGGTGAAATTACAAGCCTCCAAGGATAGGCATGTCAAACGTCAACCTGGCAGATTTTGCAACTTTGGGGGTGTAACTTGACGGGGAATTTTCCTTTCCAGGTTTTCTTTGCGGCTTTCTTTATGCTGGCGTAGACTCTACTAATTAGCAAAAAATGAAAAAATATGAGAAGGTGATGTTCAGAGGTGTGCGATTTGGTATGGAGTGGCCCATATATCCGTATGCTTGTACATTCGTGTAAATGAGCTGCTCTATGCTAAATGTTACACTTCTTTCATTTGAAGCTCCTAAATTTTTTTTGAGTTTCGCTGGTCGTCGTAGTCTGAGTCTAGATTTTTTTCGGGGGAGGAAAATGAATTTTGTATTAAATTACGCTTCTTAAAAGTTAACGCTAATGTCTCTAGTTTGTAGTTCAGCATAGCCTTGATAAAGCTCAGTAAATTCTCTTCATTGAACTTTTCGTACCTTATGTTTTGGAAATAATATATTTTTTAGTCCGGTAAAAAAGTAGGCAAAAATGATGAAAATGTAACTTTTAAAAATTCAAGTAACATCATTTGAATTTTTTTAAAAAGACGTGTCTTTTGTGGAATTTTATAATTTATAATGTATAGTAAATTGTTAATGAGATTCTGGCAGAGTGGGGATTTATGTGCTAAAAAGCGAGGCAGAATTAAGAAAAATTTATTGTTGCCATGGTAATCGCTCGCATTTCACATTGGTGATGTCTGTGCCAGTCACAGAATATACTCTTAAACTTAAGGCAAACTGTTGCCAATACCAAGCACGATCATTTGCTGAAAGTTCGTTCCGAGAAGTATCATTTAATACAAGAATCTTCACAAATCATTACTGTAAATATTTTTAACAAGTTGCCAGTATTCCAAGCTTCTTACTTCACTCCGACAGTTGTTAGCCAGTATTTTTTCGTGAGGGTCTTCCTTGACGCCAAAAGAAAAAAATATGAATGTTCGCATTCTATTGATTTGGAGGACCTTTGTAAACCTTAGCAATAAAAAGTTTTGCTTTCCTTTGTGGTCTACCTGAGTCGGACAAAGTATTATGCGACTGTTGGTGTACTTAACTAGACAACCACAGAACTGTTTAAAGTTTGAACAGATTTGGGGAACATACAG